TCAAAATACTGCCATTTTTTCTCACTCCTTCTCAACAATTGCAGATGGTAACAGTGCTTTTGTAAGTGATATCCAAAGAGAGATATCTGGGCATTCTTCTTTGCAATATAGTCTTTGTGAATAGATATTTTTATTATTATGCACAAGTTTCACTTTCCCAGTATACTTGATTGATATGCATTAAAATCATAACTTTAGTTCAGGTTTCCTTTTCAACATGATAAAATGATCAACTATATGACTATGTCACATTTTTCCTATTAAAGACTACTGTGATATCCACAGGGTATTTTGGTGCTATGTGAGGATAATATATTTCCCTAGAAAAAATATTCATTTCTTCAAAGTTAAATGTTATTAATGAGTTACAGAAGCCCTCAGAGAATGTTGTTTTAAGTGTAATTAATTTTAAGTCCACTGATTCACAATGCATGTTACTTTGAACTTGTGCTGAGTTAATCTGTACTATCTCTTTGGGACATAGTTTTGTTAAGCTAATTAAATAATGTCAATAATATTAAGGGAGACTGTACAGCCCACTAACAAAAATATTCTTAAAAGAATATTTTAGCATCACTCATTTAAATAGAAATTCTTAGCATATTAATCACACTTCTGTTTTTGTGCATTTATTTAATGTTGATTCACTAGTAGTTGGTGACTATGTACTTAGTTATGCAACAGTGAAGTTTATTATAAAACTTTAAAAAATTTAAACTAGGGCCCAGCCGGGCGTGGCTCAGCAGTTGAGCATTGACCTAGGATCCAGGCGATCTGGGTTCGATGCCTGGTCAGGGCACATGACCGGGTTGTGGGCTGCAGCCAATCAATGGCTCTCTCATCATTGATGTTTCTATCTCTTTCTCTCCCTCTCCCTTCCTCTCTCTGAAATCAATAAAGATATATTAAAAAAAAAATTTAAACTAGGATTTTCATCCAAGGTATCCTGAATTACTGAGATTACAAGCTTTAGCTTTTTAAAATTGTGCACATACACACATATTGTGGACAATAGTCTGTATACCAAACTGTATAAGAATTACATTTGGTAGCTCTGGATATATGATTTCATCTTGCTGGAGCTCATGAACAGTTGTGTGTTTTTTATCATAAATATTACTAACTATAGCAATACCCATGAGTTAAAGAGAACAAAAGGTTTTTTTTAGGACAAATAATGTCAATAAGTTTTGGATTATTGTCAAAACTTTGCTATCAAATTGATAAAGGCTCTTTTCAATTTGTATTTATGTGCTCTTTTAGTCATTGTGAATCAATTACAATTAAGTGAGGAAATACAAAAGATATTTTGGGTTACTGTCAAGATGAATTTTTGAGAGAAGCTCTAGAGATGTTGTGAATTATATTTTATAAAAAAATATTATTTGAACAATAATGTTGTACTTCTCCACCACACTTTTGGAAAACACTTTATGTGAAACTTAATCTGCCCTTTTATTTATTTATTTTTTAAATATATCTTTATTGATTTCGGAGAGAGGAAAGAAGATGGAGAGGGAGAGATGGAAACATCAATGATGAGAGTCATTGATTGGCTGCAGCCCACAACAAGGGCATGTGCCCTGACCGGGATTCGAACCGTGATCGCCTGGATCCTAGGTCGACACTCAACCGCTGAGCGACGCCCAGCAGGACATTAATCTGCCCTTTTAAAAGATTGTGTCAACTATTTTTCAGTTTAATTCCCAAATATGCCAAATTATGAAAAACTCTACAATTTTATATGTGTAATGAAATTAAAAAAAAACAAACCTCACTCAACTATTTATTTTTTATTTTTTAGTTCTGTATGTGTTACTTGGTCTCTCAAATTCTCATGAACTCTCTAATATTGTTAGCCAAAATATTATCACTTGAATTCAGTTCTTTGCCTGCTTTGTTTTATTCTGTAAAGAGGAAGGTTATCTAGTAGGAAATTACTGACATCACTTGTTAATGAGAATGCGTAACTAGAGACACAGTGATAGCAAGGGAATTGAGAAGGTGGATGGTTCGTAACACAGTAGGCTCTAAAACTTGGCAGGTGCTTATTGAAACACGTAGATCTTCTGAACAGAGGGCAATATGAGTAACTTCCATTAGGAAATTGGAGGACAACACACAGTGCTGGGAACACCACATACCCACATGTGAAAGAATGATGTTACACCATTACCATATACCATATACAAAAATTCATGCAAAATGGATCAAACATTTAAATGTCAGCGCATAGAAGAAAGTATATAGGTTGCCAGCCCGGCCGGGCTCAGTGGTTGAGCATCCACCTAGGATCCAGGCGATCGCAGTTCAATTCCCGGTCAGGGCACAGGCCCGGGTTGCCGGCTCGATTCCCAGCAGGGGGTGTGTGGGAGGCAACCGATCCATGACTCTCTCACCATTGATGTTTCTCTCTCTCTCTCTCTCTCTTTTCCTTTCTCTGAAATCAATAAAGATGTATTAAAAAAAAAAAAGTATATAGGAAAAACTTCATGACTTTGGATTTGGCAAGGTTTCTTAGTTATGGCACCAAAAGCACAGACAATTTCATCTCTGGGTAGATACCCAAAACAAGTGAAAATTGGGACTCAAATAAATAGTTTTACATCCACATTCACAGCAACACTATTATTCATAAAAGAGGTAGGTAGGAACAAAACTGAATTGGAGTAGCAAAACAACACCAGATAGTAACTCAAAATTCATAAAAAACAAATGAAAATGACCAGAAATAGTAAATAAGAAGGCTGAGAAAACAAGATTTATAATTAGGTAATTGTTTCCCCATTTTTTTTTCAGCTTCTTTAAAACCAATAATATCCATCAACTGATCAGTGGATTAATAAGTGTCCATAGAAAGTACAATCTTGGGCGATAAAAAATGAATTTGAAATACTAACATATACTACAACATGAGTGAACCTTAAAAACATTAGGCTAAATGGGACAGGCCAGTCACAAAAGACTCCTGTTGAAGGGTTCCATTTATATGACATGTTTAGAACTGGCCAATCAATAAAAGAAAAATGTAGAATAATGGTTGCTTGGGGCTGTGGAGTTTGGGGGGAAATGAGCTGAGACTGCTAATGTATACAGGTTTGTTTTGCTTTGTTTCTTTCTTTTTTTTTTTTTTTTTTTTGG